AAAAGTTTTTTCTAAATAGTTTCGTTCATATAAGTTAAAAATAATCTATATTTTTGGTCACGTTCTTATAGTAAACAGTCGTTGCTATGGCCGTTGCCAAGTGAAAAAACTTATACCACTGTGTACTTTCCTTAAATTTCACACTCATCTGGAAGGAAATTCGGCAAGATCGTTTCAAAATGTTTTTGACAAGTCCTCAAGGGTCTTAAGTCTTGTATTTCCAAGAAATTGAATTTTTCATGAACATCGCCATATTTTAGGGTACCATACCCCCTTAAGACGATCTTAGCGTTCGACTATCAGCAATGAAAGAAGCTAATGAAAGCTGGTTAAATTAGATCAGGTAAACGATTTAATTCAACACAACTAAGTATATAAGTGAACTTTTGCAGCTGATATCGTTCCTTGAGGTATAATAGGCCTGGAAAAAGAATACTTGTTAGCCTTGCCCGTCCTCATTTGAACAAAACTTCGGTTGCACCAGAGCAGAAGAGGCAAAATATTTGCAGCTTCTCACGTACATTTTTTGCCTGTTTTTTGTTAAAATGGAGAAAATCAGTAGAGAAAGTGATCTATGCAAAAAAAAAAACAAAAAACAAAAAGAGGGAGACACCAACAATTTTAGGAAGTAAATTGCAGGCGAAGTTAGCGCATCCGGTACCAAGCCCTTACTTATATATACTTATACTTGTTTCTATTTCTTCCTTAGCGCGTGCGCTTGATGTATGACGTGGAGTAACCTCGCGACGTAAATTACGTGTTCGTGCTCAGTAGGGATGCGCAGTAACAATGGGGCTGAAATTCTTTGATATATTCATAAATCACTTAGTCTCCTCCGCAGCCGTTTTTTGGGATGTCACGCAACGCTCCCCCAAAGAAATGGCTGCTCACATCCGAACAACATTCCTCTCACGAAATTAGCCAATCAGCACTTCCGTTCCATTTTTAAGAACGTTTTCGCTTCAAATTCGCCCTTTGAAAGTTGTCCAATCAGAGAATGTTTTTTATCTTTGTATCCCGTCGTGGGAGATGTCACAAACGAACATACAGATTTCCGGCTTTTGCTTAGGGACATCAAAAAACACCGGCGACGCTTGAACGAGCTTTCTATGTAGCTGAAGACTCTTCAAAGTTCAAGCTAATTATTAGAAGCTTTCAACTCAAAAAATTATTGTCGAGAAGGAAGAGTTCTATTTTAACTTAACAAAGGAACTGGAAAATCAAGTAGTTTCGCTCGATTTGTTGACAGCGAGTTCTGAATGCCGCTCTTTCCTCCTGATTTCAATCTGTAGGAAGCGTTTAGCCCCTGATTGACGCTTACAATTTGACATTTCCAGAAAATATATGTTCTCTCATTAGCTGAACATAGCGATGAGCACATGAAGCACTTGCACTTAGGCTTTTCATTTGCATTTTCTTTTCGTCCGTCATGATCGTAACCCGCGAACACCGCCTATTTTTGGAGACGTTGGGCGTGAAACAAAAGCCAGAAATCCCTCGCATGTTCGCACCGCAGGCCTTTTCGCGTGAAAGCTTACGTCATTGACACTTTGCTATTATGTGATTGGTCTGTTCAACAGAGCGCAAACAAACCACAAACACAAAAGGAAAAGAATGTGGTTCAGATGTGAGCAACCGTTTCTTTGGGGGAGCGTTGTGTGACATCCCAAAAAAGGGCTGCGAAGGAGACTATAAATCACTCTGATCCGCTCAACCTAGATTTTCTCATTAACAGTCAACAACCTAAAACACCTTTTGAACGAGTTCCAAAGGATGGATTGTTCGCACATTTTTCTTACCTTTGTGAAAAGGTTTGCGGAGTATGTCCCGTTCATATCCCGCACTGGGGAGGTATTATCCCGAAGATCTAGAATTCCGAGGCGTTCATGTTTGTAATGATCCCCACATCCCGTGTAAAACCCGTAATGCGAGTCGAACCCCCGGTAAGTCGGAGTGTATTTCCATTCAAAGAAGCCAAGATGCCATTTACCAACCATATGAGTGGCGTATCCTGGGAAAACAGAAACAAGTAACAGATCAAAACAGGACATATAACTGCTGGTTAAAATGACGGGGGATAGGCTTCTTGCTGTTGTTATTGTTGTTGTTGTTTTCCCATGTCATCCCCACTCCACTCTCACTTTTCAGGCATGCCAGCACTAGCAAGGGGAGTGTGAGGGAAAGAAGCGCAGAATTTTTTCCTCCTCCCTGATGCTTGCTATTTTGCCCCCAGCCCTCCACCCTCCAATTCCGTCTACTCTCGGGTAAAAAGATGAACATGCACCGTGGAAACTCCCGTGTACCCATGAACAGTTGCCCTCATCGTGTTTTCCAGGTCTCAGGACCTTAAATAGCGCCTTAAAATACAGTGTCTGTATATGCTAAATTCTGTGTGTGCAGTGTCTGTAACAGCTGGTGTTCGCCTTTGGTATTTGCAGGGGTATAAGCAGCCATTGTTTCCCTTAAGAATCGAACTATACAGCAAAAATTGAGTATATCAACTTTTGCCAACGTTCAACGTAGGAACAGGAGGTCACACTAGTTTTACTGCTAACAGTCAATAATTCTGATAATCTAATTTGTGTTTTAGACCCAAAGCCACAGCGGATTCGTTTTCTTTGTGGATTCATAGCTTTTTCGCTTCCTGCTTCGGGTCAACAAGCATCTCTGTATGATGAATAAGCGCCAGGTCCTTTAGCGGAGGTCTAACGTTCATCTGTATATCAATATTATCACTCCAAGGTACACGCAAGCTTCACGCACTGAAAACCCTGAGCCGGTTCTAAAAATAGAAACAGGGCACGAGTACACTACAATCTTACCAGCCTCTTTTAACTTCTGCGGCAGGGTTGTTAAGTTCAGCGGCATTCCATAAGGTTCAGGAGGTTCAATCACAAAGTGCTGTAAACCTGTGCAAGTAAAACAGAACTCTTTAGTCACAGACAATTCTCAAACTAGCCTGGTTTAGGCTTAGCCCAGGCAGGCTGTTTTGGCAGGCTACTCTTTGAATACCGACACCTCCTGACGTTGCGTGACACAAGTTGAACAGTTATGTCACGCAGCGGTCGAGTTCCTGTTATCATTCAGTTCGCATTGCGTGACAGAGAGGGCCAGAACTGGACGAGATTTATAGATACACTCCTGTTGATAGAAGGGGAATATTCATTATTTCACCTATACCTGTGTGTATGGGATACCTTCCTGTCATGAGGGTACTTCGTGTTGGCGTACACAACGGCTGAACGTAGTAGTTTTCCAGGATCACTCCTTCAGTCGCGAGCCTGTTGATATTTGGAGTATGAATAACAGAACCTTGAAATCCGACATCGCTCCATCCTAAATCATCGATTACAACTAGGACTATATGTGGGGCTTTGGAACTACTAGCGAAATGCAAAGCGACCGAGAGTGAAAAGGCTACAAAAGCGAAAGAACACATAGCTGCTGGCTTTGATCGAGGCATGACGTAGCATGTGATTTTCTTTTGAAAAGTATTTCAATAGCCCCAGTCCCCCTCAAGGTGACTTGACCAAGTGTACCGTCACACAAGCACGCAAATAGATGTTGAAAAATGGGGTTGAAATGTTAGCCTATGTTCCTGTCACTGTGCACATGTTTGTTGACATTTGTACTTTAGGTTGGCGGTCGTCCTTTGCACATTCTGTTGGTGGTTGTGAATGATTTTGGATGGAGTGATGTGAGATTTCATGGCTCAAAAATCCAAAAATCAACACCCCAAACATGGACAAGCTGGCGGCGGAAGGAGTCATTCTGGATAATTGCTATGTACAACTGATTTGTTGTTCTCCAACGAGAAGTGCCCTTCTCTCCGGCAGATATCCAATACACACAGGTTTGCTTAACACGCTTAATTTGCTGTTTTTGTGACTCAAAAAGGTTTGCATGATTCTCTAGTGTGTCACCCTCGCGCACAAGGCAATATGCATAAGCTTATTTATTATAAGGCTAGCTCCGTGCAGTTAAACTTTCCATTATATAAGCTTAATAACATGGAAACTGTCATGATTTTGTGACCTAAGTTATTGTGGGTATAGCTCAGGAAGGAACTTGTGGCACTTAAATTATATCTTCAAGTCTGTCCTTTCTTGATAGCCTACGTGTGGCTGTACCCACCCCCAGAGGAAAAACGTTTCTCCTCGGGGGGTGGGTACGGCTACACGTAGGTTACTCTCTTGAGTACAGGGATCCAGGTTCATCCAAAACTCCTACCTGGTGCATAGTCATCAGACATTACTGTGGAAAGGAGTCACAGTTACGATATCTCATATTTATTTATATTTGTCTTATTAGGTATGCAGCATTCAATTATACAAACTGAAGAGCCCTTTGGACTGCCACTTAACTTAAAAATCTTGCCTCAGGCACTCAAGAAAGCTGGTAAAGCAAAAATTCCTTTCAGCTTTATGTTAAGTTAAGTGTAGTTAAATAATTATAGCGGAGCTCCAGCTGGGCCACCAGGGGGAGCCCATAACTATAGGAACGGAACCACATGTATGCATAGAAATAGAAAACCATGCAACTCTTTTTTCATGGTCAATGTGGCTAGTCGCATGGATCACGGGGGCATGCGCCCTACGAAAAATGATGTCATGCAATGTGGTGGCAATACTCCAGTTAATAGGTCAAGGGAGGCATGTAGCCTTACTTTACAGCATACACATTTGATATTGGACATCCATATTATGGTCAACTGACACCTGTCAAAACAACGTATCTGCTTACCAGGATCACACAACTGTATAGCATGCTCAAGTTTAGAGCTCATTGAGGTCACGTGTTGTTTTAAAGCTGACCGCTGATCAAGTGCTGGTTTTCAGTTGGATTGCAGGCTCATGTCAGGTTAATTTGTTGGAATCAGGGCTGGGTTGTTTGGAGGCCAGTTTACGCTAACCCAGGATTGAAAGCTAATTAACCAAAGTATAAATTTTGCTTGTATACAAATGTTTTTACTGCTTTTGTTTTGGGTAGATTGAGATTATTCCAACTTAAAACAGAACACCAAACAATATAGCCAACTCTTGCCTTGCGGACACCCCGCTATTATGGACACCCACTATTATGGACAAAATCCGGATCCCCTGTGAAAGCTATAGAGGTTTGACTGGAAATGACTCCTGCTATTACCAACCCTCACTATTACAGAACTACGGACACTTTTGCGGTACCAAGATGACAATTTTATTGTTTTGACTCTCGATAAAGTGGACACAATGTACTTCTCATATAACATAATTATGTACAAATTACAGTCTGCTGTTCATCATTTGTCAAAATACACTTCAAAAGACTTATGAATGTTTATTTTCACATCAGTTCTTTTTCTTGTCTGCACAATAGTCCTTGCTTCACAGACATTGTCTACGTTATTTATTGCGTGTTAAAGGCACCATTTATCTCACACCGCGCTATTATGGACTCTTGCTATTACGGACACTAAGTGACCTCCCTGAGCGTGTCCACTATAACAAGAGTTGTCTGTAAACAGGAAACCTCATTGCAAAGTCACAAAACTCAAATCAAAATTCTCTCTTATCCTGGGTTAGCTTTATCGGGCTCTGAACAACCGGGCCCAGGAGCTCTGCTTTTAGGCTTGGCTCTAAAATCTATATATTAATGTTTTATTAGTCACACTGGTCACTTTGTCTGATGCAAACTTTAGCTTAATATACATACTTGAGTTTGGGAGAGCCCCTTACTTTATAGGAGAGTACAAGATTAAGGTTTTTGCCATTGATTATTATAAAACATAATGATCTTGTGTAGAAGTAAAGCAACCCATTGCTGTCTTCCAACTTTGGAAGATTTCTACATTGACAAATTGAATCCATCAAATGAATCTCTTTTGAACCCCCGTGAATTATGAGAAATATATAAATAAATATATATAGTCATGATACTCGATCAGCATCAAATATTTTTATTGATTACAGCAGGATGAACTATGGAAAATTTTCATTAAAATATAGCTAGGGGGGCACAAATTTGGAATAATCTGCCTAATAATTTGAAAATATCAAAAACATATCACTCTTTTAAGAAAAGCGCAAAAGTTTAATAATATGTACAAAATCAAAGTATTTTACATTGTTGCAATAGTCATGAATGTTAATTACTTCTAGGACAAAACCTCTATAACTATTGCAGTTAGTCTGATTATCCATCTGCTGTTTTCAATAGATTGTAAATTGTAGATAGGGGGTCTTCCTATAAAAGCTTGATTAGAGCTTGCTAAGATCTCCTGCCATTATATGTGTTTTGTTGGCAGATAATTAATTCTAGAGAAATCATTACAAAATGTAGTATAATGGACAAATAAAAAAAAATACTACAGTCAAACTAAGTGAAGCATACCCCTCAAGATTACAGTAATGAATTGATTATTTGAATATTGAACCCGCTAATCGTTTCAAGAATGCAATAATGAATTGATCATTTGAAAATTGAACTCACTAGTCATTTCAAAAGTCAATATTAAATTGAGTTTTTTGAACATTAAACCCATTAGCTGTATTCTTGGAATGACTAGTGGTTGCTAATTTCCACTTCCATTAAACTAAAAATTTGTAGCAATTTTTCTTGCATGTACCATTACGAACAGTGCCCGAGCTAGTTTATAAAGTCCTTTTTGATCTTTCATTCCCAAACTTTTTGTTCATCAACTCTAACCAAAGGAAATCACCACTAGCAAAGATTTATGTTTCAATTTTTGAACTGCATTTTCTCCTTAGTTTCCAACTTTGAGTTGAGAAGATTATGAAACACTGAGGACAGTGTTTGACCACTTTTCCAAACAACATTAAAAGTTCATTAAAATTCTCCACTACAAGTCATATTTTCAACTGTCTTTTCAATGTTTGGAAATGAGCCCAAACAAGGTCTTGAATGTTTGATATAATTCTTACAATAGTGCCTTACATCAGATGGTGCACCAGTTAACTGACATTGTAGACACATTTTTTTGTGGCAAATTAACAATTAAAAGGCAAAAAACACATGTCTGTTATAAATGGTTTACATCATTTAGAATCCCTTTTCTTGAATTTTATCGAGGTCCCTAGAGGAAAAATTATGGTGTAGTGGCTTAATACCTTTCTTCAGGGGACATATGTCATCAAGACAGTTAACTGTACTATTTTTTCCTGCTAAGACAAATGGTAGAGGCGAGGAGCCACAAGCCATACATGTACTTGCCAGGAGGTGAATATCATACTCAAAAAAACAGACTAGCACTTGATAGGTTTAGAGATTTGCACACACCCAATGTGTGAAAAGGCGACAGTAAGCAGCCATGGTTGACATAGTAGATGAAGCAATAGGGAATGTAACTCAAGCTATGCAGCAAGCTGGGTGAGTGAGTGGACTACATAGCTTAATCATCACTGACAGCAGGAGTTTGTGCCAGGCTTACTTTCACTATGTGTTCTCTTCCCTGGGCATTAGACATTTATATGAGTGTTAAACCCTTGCAGGCCCCCTCTTGAGTCACAAGTGTACAGTAAATGGGTACTGGTAAGCCATCAAACTCTGTTACTAATGGCAACCTGTGATGAACCATCATCTCCCTGAGGAGATAATGTAGCTATACCCCTGGGTGCTTTATGCTATGGCAACTGGGGTAAACTGCAGCAGTGTCAGCAGTTTGAGAAGAGCTTGACTGTCCTTTATTACCATGTCAAGTTACGTTTACTTCTTCTTGGTTAAGATGGAACAGTGATATTGAATCTGTGCTGCCATCATTCAGTAGTCATAGCCTTTAAACCATGACCAATTTTTGAAAATCCCTCCACTCATACTTCCAAAAAATAAACTTTATGCTTGGGTATGTGTCACTGTAGGATGTTCCAGGCTCTCGGTCAGTGGGGACAATCAAAAAAGCAGAAAGACAATAAGTCGGGTCTCACTTGCCACCCACCCACTTTGCAATTGTCCCTTCTGACCGAGAGGCTGAGGTAGGCACTGTATCACTGTGAAGGATATGGTTCTCAAGCGGTTTAGCCAGAATCAAAGAATTTCAGTCATTAATTTGTAAACATTTTAAACTGATCAGAATTTACATGTAGTCTGGGCTACAAATTGACATTACCAAGCCTGCAAATAATTTTTGTCTATAGGCAGTTCATTTGTCAGGACAAGGACCAGTTTTGGGCTGTGCGTGCTGATTAAGGGGCAGTATAATTTTATTTAAGGGCCTTATGCAAAATTGAAAAAAAATTGTGTCTCTTCTGGCATGCAGACCAGCTATTCAAATCAGTATTGGGGTAAAAAGAGAGAGAATTTTAATTGATTTCATCCAGTTTCATGGTTTTTGCATAAACCCTTCATTTAATTACTTTAATGACATTTTTCTGTCAAATTGTTTGCTTGTTTGCTAGTTGAAAAGTTTAACACTGTAAAAAGCCTGTTATTTGATGAAGTTGGCTACTGGCTTATTAAGACATGCAACGCAAATTAGAATTTTTGCTATAAAAGCTAAGCAGGTTTTACTTTCATGTAGCTTTTGTGACCACCATCCAGGTCATTTATCAGAATCTTATTTTTAAGAGCAATACATTGCGAGTGGTATTAACTGGACAAAATGATACACCGTTTTCTAAGAAAGATAGGCTGAATGTTCTTGTTGGGTGGGTGATTGTGCGCCTCTCAAATAGATATTTTTAAATAATATTCCCTTAAAGGGTCAAGTGAAAGAACTTTCTTGCTAAACCATGTATGGTTATAATTTGTTTGTTAGAGTGGGAAAACACAGTTAAAATTACCCTCGTATTTTATGTGAATAATTGTACATCTGTAGATAGTAAACAGCGCTACACAATTTTAAATAAATCTTATTTTTAGAATTAGCAATACCTCTTGTTTTTGCTGTTTTGACTGGGAAAGGGAATGAGCTTTAGTCCCCTGAACATTGGTAGCCAGCAGGTCGTGGGACTGTAGAAAGATCAAAAGAATCTCGAACACGGGATGGGAGTGAGCGAACAATGCCGGCCGATGCGCACTGAAAAACACCCGAATACACCGTCCCAGGAAATGCAAGAAAACGCGAGGAAAACGTTGGAATTCGTGCAATTTTCCACCCATTAACTGAACGGTAAACGCCAGGGAACAAGCGTTTTCTTGAATTCACCGCAACTCACTGTCCCAGAAAATATAAGAAAATTCCTGCGAACACAGGAAGACACGATATTTTCCAAAAGTTCATCGAACGGTGAACATTGGAAAACAAGCGTTTTCTTGAGTTCACGCGCGTTTGCCATCAGGGAAAATGCGAGAAAAGCACAAGAAAACTTCTGAAAACGCAGGAACACACAATAATTTCCGTGCGTTTACCGAACGGTGAACGCTGGAAAACATGCGTTTTCTTGAATTCCCTTGAATTCGCCGTCTCGGAAAATACAAGAAAACAGGAGAAAACTTCTGTGAACGCGGGAATGCACTATGCTTTCCGTACGTTAACCGAGCAGTGAGTTCTGGTAAACAGTGTGTTTTCCGAAATTTCACGGCATTTGCCGTTCCGGAAAACAAGGGAAAACGCCGGTTTTCAATTGTTAACCACGGATGAACGTGAAGTTTTACACCGGGAAAACATCTGTTAACACAGGCAAACAAGACATTCGCCAAGTGTTAACAGACCGGTAAATTCCAGAAAACAGGCGTTTTCCGGCGTTCACCGTAATGGTAAACTACCGGATAATGGAACGAATACTCAAATTCCCCGACAGCAAAACAACTGGAAAATCTTGGATTTTCCGATTGGTGAATACCAGTAAATGTAAGCAAATGCCACGTTTTGCGTAAATTCACCGCGCGTTTTCTAAAAGGTAAACGCCACTTTTTTTGCCGTG